GTCTTCTTTTGTTCAAATAGTGGAGGATGTGAACTATATTCAGAATTTTCAGAGATAATAGCACAATCGAAATCCTAACACCTATTACCCAGGTTTTCAGTGTAGTAATAATTAGGACGCTTAAACCGGACCACTGCATCCTGCACCGCCAAGTTTCCAGCAGAATGAGAAGATATCTTCATTAGAAGGTCTTGTGACTAAGTTGGCGGAGATCTCTACTCAACATATGGAAAGAACAAACAAGATTTTGCAAGTTCAGGGAGCTGGTATCAAGAATTTAGAAAATGAGATGGGACAAATAACAAAAGCACTCTCAGAAACACAACAATGAGCACCGCCAAGCAACACTCATAGAAATCCTAAACAACAGGTAACGACAGTAAAAGTTGTAGAGAGTGAGGAGATTGAGGCAATCACTACACGCAACAAGACTCAACTTCCTGAAATCACAAGCGAGAGTCGGGTGACAGTAAATAAAAAGGTACCTTCCACAGATGAGGAGCGAGTGGATATATCTGAACTGCTAGATGAAGTAGTTCTATATCAAGAGTTAGAAAATCTATAGGTTAAGGCAATCGTTACTATCAAACCTTATGTACCTCCTATTTAATTTCCGCGGAGATTGTAAAGAAGGAAGCTCGACGATCAATTCGAGAAATTCTTAGATATGCTAAAGAAGCTTCATATCAACATTTTATTCGTCGATACAATCAGATAGATCTTGAAATATAAAAAGTTATTGAAAGATATGATATATAAGAAAAGAAAGCTTCTAGACTGGGAAGAAGTGAAATTGACCAAGGAAAGCATTGCGAGACTACAAAATAAATTGCCACCAAAACTAAAGAATCTAGAGAGTTTCACTTTACCCATTTCACTAGGCAAAGGATTTCATTTTAATACTTTATGTGATACGAGTGCAAGTGTTAATATACTTCCATTGTCTACTTTCAGGAAACTAGGAGTTTTGGAAGTCTAAGGATCGAATATGACGCTATAGCTGGCGATAGAAATATCATATTCCCATGAGGCAAGGTTGAGGATGTGCTCATTAAAGTTGGAGAACGGATATTCCCTGCAGACTTCATTGTTATGGATCTCGAAGATGACCAAGAGATGCCAATAAACCTAGGTCGATCTTCCTTACCAACAAGTTGAACGTTGATTGACATGGAGAAGAGCGAACTTAAGTTAAATTATGGTTTTGTTTGAAGACAAACAAATGCTCAAGTTTGAGGGTGTTTAATAAATGTATAGAATACACTTATTTGGACTTTAAAATATCGACATTTAGTAGTTCTTTAAGCAATTATAGTCTAATTTATTGTATATTTTGTTTATTAGGTAGAACTCAATGGTTGAAATTTGAATTGAAAGAAAGAACCTAAAAATGGCGAAGTACAAAGTTTTGGATCAAATTGCAAATATCCAATGATTGATTTGAACCACAAGAGATACTTTGAAAATTGATAGGAGTGAATTGGATGCAATTAGAAGTCTAAAATGAATGGAATATGTTCAGAATATTACCATAAATCAACTTTCAATCACCTAAGATATCTTACAGATTTTTAATTAAAGATTGAGATCCATTTCAGCATAGAAAACGTCTGAAACGATTTTTTTTTTAAATAATTGTAGCCCTTTGAGTTAGCTTTTCAATGCATTTCAAATTAGCTCAATCGGATATCGGGAGACAAAGTTATGATTAAAATAATGATTACTGTGCAAAGACAAAATCCACATGCGAAAGTAACTTTCCTTATTCAATTAGAACTCTTTTGGAAACCAATTTGGATGTGATTTTCAAACAATTTTTAACTCATACAGATACCTAACAGCAAAATACATTAAATAACATCTCTTGCATCTCTCATATACATATTATACTCCAATACTCATCAATTATTATCATCAAATGAGGAAAATTCATAGTTTTTGTAAGAGAATTGAAGGGGACTTACAAGAATTCAATCAAGTAAAGATTCAAACTTGGTTTTTGGGCAAAGGAGAGAGGGCGCGTGGAGATTTATCGGGAAACAATTGAAGAAATTTAAGATTTCAAGATTCATCTTCATCTTCATCTTCATCTTCATCTTCTCAATTTATGAAATTTCGGGTTATGTCTTTCCTCTTAAATATGATTTTTTGTAATTTCAATATATTATACTAGTTTTATACATTGTTAGGATGAGACGAACACTTTTTATGATATTTTTAATTTTTAATTAATTATTTTGACTTTAATTTGGTTTGATTTGTGAATGTTTATTATCGTTTTTATCGTTTTTTCAATTATTTGATTACCAATTGAATTGTTGGTGGATTTTATTGTTATCGAGAGAGACATTAGGATTTAAGCAAAATATAATAAATATTGTAAGGTTCGATAGAGATATACATATATGCTTTATATGGTTTCAATAGCTGTTCTAGCACTCCTTAATATATTTATCATGTTTGTATATTTCATCGAGAGACAAAAGGTTACATGAGATGAATAGATTTGATCGCTATCGAAAGAGACTTTCAATTAAATTAGAAACATTGATCAACATGAATAATTTCAAATTATCAATTTAATTGTTACGCAAAAAATGGAATAATAACGAGGATTCGATATCTTAGCAATACTTTCACATATTTGGAAGGAAAAAAAGAAGAAGAAGAAAACCTATTATATTGTTTTCTAGTTTAATTGATAATTTAGATATTATTATAGAAAACTAAAAATCTATTTGCTATTCAATTAATGTTGCTTTTAATTTGAACTCGATCAAATAAATATTTTTCGTGGGTTCAACTCTCTATTCACTACTTTATTACTTGTTCCCGACCACATCCACTTGCGGGAAATCAAACGATCACAAATCCAAACCTTAATAGCAATCCTAATAAAAAAGTATAGCACAAATCACTCAAATGATATTTTATTTATAAATACTTAAATCACTTTTTATTTACATATTTTTGGGACTTACAAGTAGTCAAGTACTATTCACTTATGTAAGTAGTTACTTATAACAAGCAAACATGGGGCACTACATTAATACATATATGAGCTTTGTGAAAATAAGTCGAGCAACGTTAGAGTCCACATTCAAGCATTCTTCTTTCATGGCAATTGTTTTTCATTAATAAAATCTATTCTCTAGATAACTTGAGACGGATGATTAAGGGACGGAGGGGGGGGGGAGGGGGGTATGTGAAGATTTAAAAAATATATTTCGAAGACATTGTTGATTAAGCATGTTTGGATAAACTTAAAACTAATTTAAAGTTTTATTTATTTATTTATTGGCAAAATATGTTTGGAGTTTTTTAAACAGTGCTTTCTTTTTCAATAAAATGATTTTAAAGCTTGGAACAACTTCGACTAAACTTAAAATTAAAAGGAAAAGTTTTAAAATAATTTTTTATCAGTAAAATATAAATATAAGTGAAATGTCAAGACACTCAAGATTAACCAACATTCATAGAAACCAAATCAAGAAATGCAGAAAATAAAAGTGCAAAAATAATGAACACGATGATTTTTTTCGGACGAAGCCCCAGAGGTTCAGCACAAGTGCCTAATCCCTTGTTGAGCATCCACTATCAATGGATTCAGCTTGGTTGCACTATAAGGCCCCCAAAATCAGGCAATAAGTATACAATGTTTCCAGAATATTACAATATACAAGTTACAAAGACTTATCTCATAAAGATTTACCAAGACAGACCACGATTCATGAAGAAACCACGAACAGATCACTCAGACACTTAAGTCACAAGTACTGCCATCCAAGAATCACATGACTTCACAAGTCATTATACAATATGTAAGTTATTCCACACAAGAAATCACCAAGATTTCATCAAACCCGACTGCACATCACATGAAACCACTCAGGTTTCCATAAACTCAACACAACAGTTCAGTAGTTTAGAGATCTATAACATATTCTGGATTAACTCAAGAAAGAGTTCTGAAAATCACTCAAGAACAGAGCCAAAATGAGAGATTCATCGAGAGAGAAAGAGAGGCGACTCAAAAAACCCTCGAACTCGAGAAGCCGAATGGAGTAAAAAATGAAAAGCCAACAGCCACCCAAACCATTTAGGGTTAAATACATAGAATGATCTAGAATCAGATCCAACAGCCAAGAGATGAGCATGCTTTTAGTTAAAATTGTGGAAGCACAATTTAAATCAAAGCGATCAGCAGTTCGACTCCCAACAATAAGTAGGTTATTATTAATTTTGAAAGTAAGGTAAAAGTTACTTAAAATGTAATTTTACTTCCTTTTAAGTACAATCAAACATGATTCAGATTGTCAAGATGAGAGTTAAAATAGAAAAATGAAAAAACATCATGCTTAAGGAGCCTCTATTTTGAGGCTTATTTCATTGAATTTTCAGAAGGGTTAAGAAAAGTTGACCATGTTTAAATTTAGACCCCTTTCAATACTATTCAATATTTGGAAAAAAAAAAAATGTTCCTTAAAAAAAATAATAAAAACTAAATTTTTTTTTTTTTTTTAAAAGTTGCTTAGTGAAAATGGTGAAAAGAAATTGGTGATCATGGTAAAATGTTATGTGAAATTAGGTGGTCGTGGTAAAACATTATATGAAATTGGTTGATCATAGTGAAATAAAATCAAATTGAGTGGTCATGGTGACACTAAATATAAAGTTGGATGCTCATGGTGGAAAAAAATCAAATTGAGTGATCATGATGACATTAAGCATGAAATTGAGTGATTATTGATGGATTTAAGTCATTTTGAAAGTGTTTCCAAATAGTTGCGTCTTAGTGTCTATAAAATAAGACTTTAGTCTAGTCAATGTTGGAATAAAAAAAGATTGCTGTGATCACCCCATACGTCTGCTCTGAAGGGGTCCAATTGGGGATATCCACCACTTTGTCAAAATACAAATATTTATTTACTTCGTTAATATATTCATTAATTCTTGGCAGACAAGTTAGACTCCCTCTATATAATAAGGCCCAGCCCTGGAGAATGAAAATACAGCACAGTATAGACTGAAAATCAAAGGAGAGTAAAATGGCAGAAGTGAAGCTTTTTGGTGCTTGGGGAAGCCCATTTAGCCGCAGGATCGAGGTTGCTCTGAAGCTTAAGGGTGTTGAATATGAATTCATAGACGAAGACCTATTCAACAAGAAGTCCCCTTTGCTGTTAAAGTACAACCCAGTTCACAAAAAAGTCCCCGTGTTAGTACACAATGGCAAGCCTATTTGTGAGTCTCTGGTGATTCTTGAATACATTGATGAAACCTGGGAAGAAGGCCCTTCTCTTTTGCCTAAAGATCCTTATGAGAGAGGCATGGTGCGCTTCTGGTCTAAGTTCTTGGATGAAAAGGTACATTTTTATGTACGATATATTAAACATGTAACGTGATTGTATAATGGTGCTACTTGTGCATTCAACAACTACCGATGTTTCTATTTTTTGTACGTTTTTTAGTGTATGCCTGCAATGCGGAGAGCTTTATTGAGCAGAGGAGAGGAGCTAGAGAAGGCCACGGAAGAATCGACCGAGCTTTTGAAATTTCTCGAAGGCACACTTTCCGGCAAGAAATTCTTTGGGGGTGACAATATTGGAATGGTTGATATAGTTGCAAATTTCATATCATATTGGTTTATAATTGGGCAAGAATTGGCAGGATTACAAGTGTTGACTAAAGAGAAATTTCCGAAATTAGGTGAATGGATGGATGAGTACCTAAACTCTAACATTATAAAGGAAAATCTGCCACAGAAAGATAAGTTGACTGCAATGTTCCAAGCTCGTATTGAAGCTGCTGCTGCCGGTGGTGGTGGACCTGGTGGTGGTGGAGGAGGAGGAGGAGGAGAAGGAGGAGGAGGAGGAGTTGCACCAAAATGAAATCCAAGTAGCTAATTACTTCATGTTTTGATATGGAACTCGAAATCATGAATGAAGGGAAATATGAATGCCTTTTTATCGAAGAAATTATGCGTGATTTGAGTTCTTGTCCGTTATTTTTTGTACCTTTCTATCAATGTTTAGCCTTTATATATTGGTATGAAAAGTTCATATACATGATTTTTGATTCATGTCGCAGATAGCTACTTTGTGTGTGTTTGTATATAGAACAATAATCAAATGTGGGAAGTACATGCAATTAGTTATATTTCATGATTGTGTAGTGATATTAGCATAATCATGGGAAAAATTCCTTAATTGTATGGATAGCTGACCTCGTTAGCACAGTTATAGAAGAGAGACGATAGAGAATAATTAGAAGAGAAATTTTAGAAATTTGATTAATTTTCTTTTGTATGTAGGATTTGTTGCCACAGAATTTATCAACATAAAATCTGAGAAATTCATTGTAAATAGAACACAAGTCATCTCCGGTCTGTTGACATTGCTGAAAATTTGAAATGCTAAGCAACAATAATTATTGTTATAATTCCTACCTAAAAGTAATTCTAAATAGAACTCATCGACTTTGTAACCATTTCCTTATTTCTCATATAACTTTTGGCCTGGTGCATTTGTTGATGTCCACTACAAATAAAGGACTATCAAAGACCAGATTTTTCGTCGTTGATATTTATGTTACACTCAATACATTGAAACTCATTGCCCATGGATAAAGAAAAATCACTTCAACATCAAAAAACAACTCGAAGAATTTCTGTTTGACGCAGCGTAACATGAGCGAGCAAACTTTATTCTTATAAAATGATAGTTTTGCAATGGATGATTGATGAAAGATTAATGAAGATTTTTAATAGATTTTGATAAAAATTGATAAAATGTATAGTTGAAACATTGATAAAAATTGTGGATCTTATCAATTGTATAATTACAAAATAAATTTGAGAAAAAAATTTGTTTTAGAACATGGGTATAAAAATACTTCATATTTTGGTTAACTTTTGAAATAGTAATATTTAACACATGTTTGGCACATATTCTTTAAAACTTATTTTTCATCGAACTCATTTCAACCACACATTTTTATTATAACATATTTTTGCCCGAGAACCCATTTCCACTTATAAATCAACTCTTCAGTTAACTTGAGACGGATAATTGAGGGAAGGAGGTGTATGAAGATTAAAGAAAAAAGAAAGACAATGTTGATTAAGAATGTTTCGATAAACTTAAAAAATCTACTTAAAATTTTTTATGCCAAATATGTTTTGAGTTTTTACAGATTACTTTCTTTTTCTATAAAATGTTGTTGAGACTCCAACCCTGTTCTATTGCTCCCTAAATTTTCATGTTAAACGTACTAGTAAAAATGCGCTTTTTCTAGTGGGGTACTTCAACTAGATGGTGACATCTGTCTTAATATTAGCCATTTGATCTAGAATGTTGAACATGTTGATTATATTCATTGGTGCTTGTTCATTTGAATGACTTGACTTCTTCATTCAGGAGGCGAAATCAAACCAATGTAATTATAGTTCATCGATATACTATGGTGGTCAAGACCTCTATACTTTACCGGAGAGTACCCAGGGCTCTTTCTTTACATCTGTGAGTACCCTTTACGACAATGTAAATGCTTGTTAAATTACCTATTTGTTTTATACGGTCGTTGCAATTTATTTGGCAGTGATAACTCGATTATCCCTTATGAGTATGTAAATGCACACTAAATTACATGTTTGGTTTATGCGGTCATTGTAGTTTGTTTGGCGTTGATAATTAATTTTTTGGTCTTCAACTTAATACATATCGCTATTCTTCACTTATAGCGATTACTGATTAAAATTGAGGTGATTAGTACATTAATGCTCTTTTGACAGAACCGTTTTGATTAAAATTTCCAAAAATTAAAACATTTTAGTGCTAATGTTGGAATAATCATCGCAAATAGCCCTTTTCCCCCCCTCTTTACTGCTGTAGATCAAATTTGATAACGTGTTAACTTCTTTTCGCTTTATGATCAGTTCACAGATGAGGCAGGAGATGACTCGAACATGGCTTCGAGAGGCAACTGGTGGCTAGGTGGGTTCATATTACTATTTATTGTGAGACGTGATATGGTGGCTAAGCTTTGCTTGTATTAACACGTTTTTTTTTTCCTTTCTTTCTTGGCAGGATCTCTTTATTACTAGCTGATCATCACCATGGCCTGTGAATTTACTACATAGTTACCTAGGTATTTATCACGAGAGTTCTTGCAGGAATGCAGATTTACACACAACATTTTTTAACATTTCTTTTCATCATATGCTGGATCTTTGAAATAGTTTTCCTTCTCTGTACTGATAATCATGTATGTAAAGATCAAATCTGGCCAAAGATTTATTGCTACTTTTTCACATCATCAATTTATTTATCATCGATCAAGGGATTGTTTCTTTTTCGCTTGGCCGTTTATCTTTATGATTGATTTGATTAATTGTTCAAATTTTTCTGCAGGGAGACAGAGATAGATGTTGGGCAGCAGCAGTTTTTTCATACTTCCTGCAATAATGGAAAAATAGATAGAAAATAGCAGTTAGCCTTTCATTTGTTATGTCAAATGTTTCCCCTTTTAGCATCTATACTACCAGGATGTTAAAGTGTTAAACTTGGTGATTTTAGCCTTTTCGGCTGTAGAATGTATATATATTATGCTCATCTATCTTAATATCAACATTTCTTCGGAAGAATAGATGTTATCCCCGCTCTTTTGGCTGTAGTATGCCTATATGTGTATTGTGTACTGAATATGTTCTTAGCATATTGTCTAAGAGTTTGGCCATCTTTTAGCAGCATAAAGAAATTCAAGATGTCAAGAATGGGCGACTGTTAGCATATTTCAAGGATAAAAACTATTTTGACTGTGGAAATATAAATCACCACTACGACTATCTTTGTTTAAATGAAAATGATTTCTGTTTCTTTGGGTTGTGTTTGACGACATTTGGGAATCTAGTATAAGATTAGATGGGATTAAATCACTTTGAAAATATTGAAGGGATGAGAGGAAATGCTGGGGAATAATGAGCTTTGAGGTTGGATATTGCCAAACTCCACCGAGTTCTTGATTGTTGTTGCAGTTTTATCAAATTTCTTGATATATATACATCATTTGTTTGAGTTTGACAATTAAATAATGAAAATTACCTTCATTTACGTAAATGTACGAGTCATGTAGAAGTATGAACGTCATGTAGAATAAGATTATCAAGTTACCATTATTCTTCATTTAAAATCGTTGACCTGGTGTGGGGCCCACCGGATGTACAATAACACTTACGAAGGGTACATAATAGAATCAAAGATATGATAACAATGGAGATTAATGAATGGTTGACACGTGTCTAAAAGATTAGAAACACTCGACTTTAAATATTGAACTTGAACAAAGGTAAATTTGTGATATCATAAAATTTCATTGGATGTGATTTCGATCTCTTTGAAATGAGTAATTAATTTTATTTTCTTTGCCTCCATTCGTTTGGTAAACAGAAAAAATGTAACACTATTTTAAAGGAAAAGTGAAAATAATTTTATACACAACCCTTCCTTTATTGCAACATCTGGGCATTTGGTCTAGTGGTATGATTCTCGCTTAGGGTTTCGAGTTCAAGTCTCGGAACCCCCATCTCTGTTTTTATTTTTCCAAATATGGAGCAAGTTGCCGCCAGTTCCTTAAATCCTTCCTGGTTTGGAACTATTTTATTCCTAATTTTTTTTTCTTTTCGTGTCCTTGGAAACAACACGAACAATTCACTGCTATGATCGATCATTTTTACTGAATTTGATCAATTATTGTTACTTAACTCACACACACACACACTCACACGAAAACTATTAAAATCTGTTCCATATCAAATTGTGAAAGAGTTAAGAGCAGAGGCGGACCTGATGGGAGGTCCAAGAGGCCTACGCCTCAGGCTCAGAATTTTAGGGGGCCCATTTTTTTACTTTTTACCCTTCTTTTTTTTTTCCTTTTTTTTTTTAACCCACTATATCCATGTGTTCAAAGAAATGAATAAATACTTTAATGAAAAGAGAAGGAAGGAACATCAAAAAATTTATTTGTTGATTTAAGTTAACAAATTTAATTCCGTAAACTTCTAATTTTTTATTTTACTTTTTTAAAAAAGGGATTGTTTGCTACGACTTAGGGCCTAGGACCCAAATTCCGAAGTTCGTCTCAGGGCCCGCGAAGCACAGGTACGGCCCTGATTAAGAGTGACCTATCAACCTTCCAATTTGGCCAGCCAGTAAGTGGAATCAAAATAAATAATCAAACTGATTTTGGAGAAGATTTGATCTGAATGCATAGAAAAGTCATCAAGTCATGGATGTGTGTGACAATGTTAAAGCTATGCTCTTTAATACTCTAGAGTAGCTCCCCAAAAGCTAGTGCAAATTATGAATGAGCCATGGTTTTTGGTTAGGGTGAAATTCCGGCGAAACAACAGGGTGCCGCCGGGATTTAATCTTGGCCAAACAAATTTATCCTTTATGAATTGAAGCTTGACATAACACTTTCGTCTTCTTGAATTTCCAGTCCCACCCCACATCACCCCCAACGTACACAGACCCTAATAACTTTTTGATATTATTATGTACTTATAGTGATGGCCTTCTATTATCACTATTTTAACAATCTTGTCTCAATGAATTTTGTGACAAATTCCAAAGGGGAAAAATATTAACCAAAATAGAGATATTTTTTTATTGATATAGGACAAATACAATGTGTAATATTTTCTTGATATGTTAAAGATATCAAAAGACCGTTAATAAGTGTATTTTTACACACTTACTCAGTCCACAAAACATGACTTATTATTGATAAAATTGATTGATTATGACTTAATTCTATGCAATTTCATGTTATAGGGTCATATTCATGTTATAGGGTCATATTGATGGATATGATGGAATTCACGAGAAAAAGAAGCAAAAAGGACCAAAACGCACCAAAATGAAAGTTCAAAGACCAATACGCAAATATCCAAAAGATGAACAAAAGAAGCAATCAAAGATTCAATTGAGCCAAGTACCAATTAGAGGTTAACAGTGATAGGGGGAACGAAAAGAAGGAAGAAAGAAGGCCAAGAATGTTGAAAATAAAGTTTAAGGACTAAAATCAACGTTCGGGAAAAGGGCGCATAGGAACCTCCCGAGCATTAAAGGGCCAAATTTTTTTAGCCTATGCAGTCGCATAGGCATAAATCAAGGATCGAACCTGCAATTTCCAATTTTCGATATAACTCTTTTGGAACTTGATTGGGACGCGATATAAAAATCTAGAGTCGTCATATTTCGAGGTAGAACGTATTGGGAGGCCAGAAACTACATCATGGAGAAGAATTTGAGTGCAAATAACGAAGAATTTCACGAGGATTTTCAAGATTTATCAAGAATTCATAACCCGGTGTTGTTTTCTCTTCAAAATCTGATGTATTCTTATATTTTCTCTATGTTAGGCTGGATTTTCATGTATTAGGAGATCGATGTACCATGTGATTTGATCTTTAATTTTTTAGTTTTACAATTTGACATTAAAAACACGTTTTGATTGTTTTGAATGATTTATATGCAATTATTGTTTTCGCAATTAAGGACTCATAATTGTGTGAGTTTAGGTGGCTTATTCTTGCATTCGAGAGAATTGGAATAAGTTCGACATAATATAAATCATCGTAGGGTTCGATAGGAGATAGAAATATACCGCTATGTAATACGTTCCAAATCATGTTCCAATTAATTCTCCCTACTTAACTTAAAATGTGTCGTTTTAAATAGTATTATGGCAAGTAAGGGTCATTTCCCATAAATGATTGATGCAATTATGTCAATTGCGCACTAAAAATTCAAATTAATAATAATATGCGAAATAGATTAAATGGGGGGTTTTGGTTTGTTGAACTAAGGAAAACGATAAATTTAAACTAGAAAAGACTTAAAATCTGAAACAAACAAAGTGGTTCTTAGTTGAATGCGAGAAAATGTGATTGGGGGATATTTCATCACCACGAGAATGATTTTCATGTCAATTACCACAATAGATTTTCGTTCTCATAATTAACTATAATTCGAGAATAATTATAAGTTCAATTACCTCAATCTCTTCTTGCATGTTAATCGAATAAAACAAACTCTTTACTTAATCATATTCATTAAACAACCTAGAACAAGCTCTCTAGATTTAATTTAACAAACTCATTACAACAAAAGATATTAATTGAATTAAGGGCAAACTCGCAAGCTCGGTCTACAACTTAAGTTAATCCACATACATTCAATTGAAAATTCTTCATAATCTATCGAAATGTAATTGCTACTAGGTTTTAGAATCAATAACTATTACGTACTACTAATCCCAAAATAGCATTCATCGAAACAATTTAATCATTCAGTTGTACACCTAAACAATCAAGAAGAACAAAATAAACATTTAACCCAATGGATTAAATACATTAATCAAGAGAATTATAAAACACAAATTAATTGAAAATTATAACTCAGGTTTGAATTAATCCCCAATCACAAATATATTTAGTTACCCATAAAATATTCACAAATAACTAAGAATTTCTTACAAAACATTGATGGAAAAAGTGAAAAGAAAAACTTATTGATAAAGAGAGATGGTAGAAAATCCTTCAATATCAATGGGTCATCTTCTCCAAGCTAATGCACCATCTCCATGTTTCAATCTTCCCCAAAATATGTAAGAAAATATAGATGAAAGAAAAAAGAAAAAAATAAAGAAAAAAAAAAGAAACAAGAAGAAGCTGCCCCCTAAAGTTCCAAGAGTCCAAGAATGAAAATCTTGTGTTTGGTTGAATGTTTTAACCTAAAACCTAAAGAAAATTGCAGCATTGGTCTTTGAAATTTTGAAAACAATAAAAAACGGCACGGGTGGTGCCTAGGCACCGGAACGGTGGCGCCTGGGCGCCACAGTTTCTGTTTCTGCTCGAGCTGGGCGCCGCTCGCTGAATTTTTTTTTTTTTTTTAAACATCCCTTTTCAACGTCTTCATGCTTCTTTTATCTTTTTTTTTTATCTTTTCTCGCATAAATACCTTCTAATCATTGTTCAAAGTCGAGTTTTCACCTGCACAATAAAAATAACTAAATTAAGTAATAAATCACTAATGAAACTCACAAATATCTAAGTTTAATGGCCCGGAGTAGTGCAAAAACCAGCACTTATTACATTCCTAAACTTAAATCTTTGTTAGTCCTTGAACAAAGTCGTACAAACACGTAAATTAAAACCAAACGATAATACTATAATAACAAACACTCTAATTGTTAGATAGTTTGCCACTTTGCTTCAAGCCTTACATTATGCACTTATGAAATGTTTATAAAAATGCTACAACAAACACTCTTTAACTTATACCATGCTTGACTTGTGTGTGTGTGGTCATTCCAATTCATCGCAATACATAAGTTGGTGATTTTCCCAACCCTCAATGGTTAAATTTTCCTTTCTCACTCATGGGATGTACACTCCCCCAAACTTGATATTTTCACTTTAGCCCAAGGTGTCAAAAACTTAAGGTTGCCCTCAAATCACTCAATCTTTCCCTCTCAAATTTGGTTGGGTTGAACCGAAAAAATAAATCATCTAGTCATGTATTAGTTCACCAAAAATTTTGAGTGCTTAGACCACAAACTTTTGTTAGGCAAA